ATTTATCATAGAGATGAGGTCTCGCTGCCCAGGCAGGTCTTGAACCTGCGGGCTCAGGCAATCCACTCACCTCAACCTCCCAAAGGTGCGGGATTATAGGATGAGCCACTGAGCCTAGCTAAAGTTTGACATTTTTATCAGCATCTGTAATGCTTGAAGTGTCAGCTGTCTAACTCTGAAGAGGGTCTTCCCAAATGGGAGGACAGCAGGTCTCAGCCATCTCCAGGTCCTACCAGGAGAAGTGACCCACTGGGTGGACATCAAAACTGCTGTGTGATAATAGTAGTAAATGCACAGAATGCAAGCCTCCTCCCTGCTGATTTCACATACAGGGTCTGAGGTAGAAAGTCCTGGAAAGGATTGATCTAAAAATCTCCCCAAGTGATTTGAAAATGCCAATTTGAAATCCATTGTACTGATGTCAAGAATCTTTGAGATTGTGACTCCTAAAATCAACCCCTAAAGATACATCTATATTAATTAATAAAAGCATCTTTTGAGCTGTTTAAAAAATAAAAAATTAACTCTAAATGGATCAGAGACCTAAATGTAAAACCTCAAACCATAAGAACCTTAGAAAATGAAGGACATACCCTCATGGAAATTGGAACTGGCAACCAATTTCTGAACAAAACCCGAAACCCACAGGCCATAAGAGATAAGATAGACAAGTGGGACCTCATTAAACTGATAAGCTTCTGCAAAGCCAAAGAAACCATCAAGAGAGTTAGGGAGACAGCCTACAGACTGGGAAAAAATATTTGCCAACTCCAGGTCTGATGAAGGCTTAACATCTTGGATCTACAAGGAACTCAAATGTGCTGAAAAGAAAAAAACAAACAACCCCATTATAAAATGGGCAAAAGATATGAACAGACACTTCTCAAAGGAAGACATCCAAGCAGCCCACAGACACATGAAGAAATGTTCAACCTCACTAATCATCAAGGAGATGCAAATCAAAACCACACTGAGATACCACCTAACTCCAGTCAGAATGGCAATTATCAATAACTCAAAAAAAAAACAGTTGCTGGAGAGGGTGTGGGGAAAAGGGAATACTTCTACACCGTTGGTGGGAGTGTAAACTAGTGCAACCTCTGTGGAAAGCAGTGTGGTGATTCCTAAAAGTTCTAAATATCTACCTCCCATATGACCCTGCAATCTCCCTACTGGGAATATACCCTGAAGAACTCAAATCACTCTATAAAAAAGATACCTACACACGAATGTTTATTGCAACATTGTTCACAATAGCAAGAACCTAAAACCAACCATGCTGTCCATCCAAAGAGGACTAGATTTAAAAAATGTGGTACATATACACTATAGAATACTATGCAACCATAAAAAAGAACAAAATCATGAATTTTGCAGCAACCTGGATGGAATTAGAGTCTATAATACTGAGTGATCTCTCACAGAAACAAAGATCTGAGTATCACATGTTCTCAATCATATAGTGGACCTTGAACATCTACCATAATACTATAAAAAAAGAACTGACAGTGGTGGGAAACTATGGGGGAGTAGGGAGGGGAAGGGAGGTGAGACTAACGATAGTCAATATCTGTGTGGGGATGGGGAGACACCCCTTATTAACAAGGGTGCTGAACGATGCACATTTGTATACCTAACCCTTAACTGTACCCCACAATATCATTTTAAAAAATTGGTTAAAATAAAAAAATTGAAAAATAAAATAAAATAAAATAAAATAAAAAATCCATTAAACTGATGTCAAGAATCTTTGAGATTGTGACTCCTAAAATCAACCCCTAGAGATCCATCTATATTAATTAATAAAAGCATCTTTTGAGCTGTTTAAAAATAAGTCGGCTGGGCTCAGTGGCTCAGCCTGTAATCCCACAACTTGGGAGGCCGAGGTGAGTGAACTGCCTGAGCCCGTGGGTTCGAGACCCACCTGGGCAACTTGGCGAGACCTCATCTCTACAATACATTTTTAAAAACTAGCCGGGTGTGGTAGCGCACACCTGTAGTTCCAGCTACTTGGAAGGCTGAGGTGGAAGGATTGCCTGAGCCCAGTAGGTCGAGGCTGCAGTGGCCAGGAGCGGCCACTGCACTCCAGTCTGGGTGACAGAGTGAGATTCCAACTCAAAAAAAAATAAAAATAAAATAAATAAATAAAAATAAGTTAATGGAAAAGACCAATAACATGGATGTAAAAATATTCAAATATATCTATTATCCCGTGTTATATGATACAAGAAATGTTGCAAATCAAATAAATACCTATTTTTTATAACTTGATCATTAGGATAATTTAATTAGGTAAAAACATTCTTTGTTAAAGTAGTTGTATAACCGACCCCCATTCCCTTCGAGGATCCCAGTGTGTATGGAGAAATTTGGAGGACTGTAGCTCACCCATTGAGTATAGGTTAAAATCACCTACATAGCTGGGTCTATGGAAGGGGAACAAGTGCTGCTTAAGATCCAGAGTCAGAATAAAGGTCACATTTCACATCTGTATTTGTATCTGTCCCATGTAAGGATAAATACAAATAATAAACAAGAAAATTATCTCATTTGAAAATGAGGAAAGAGAATCGCACCTAAGCCCCCTCCCCTTTTAAACTCCTTTACTTGGGAAAACTTGTCATTGAGTTCCATCTCTTTGTCATTGAGTTCCATCTCTTTCAATCCTTTTAGAAGACAAATAAGATTCTTTCCAGTTTTGACCCAGGAATGTCTTTCTCAAAGAGTTAGGAACCATTCCCATGAAATAAAATCAGCAAGGCAGATAGCACCTCTATCGCCCAATTTCTAGGGGATGGTACTCCTCAGGTTACAAACTTTCCTTCTGACATAAAGATGCAAAAAGTTTCTTTTTCTTTTGGATAAGGTCAATTAGCTAACACACTTGACTACCCTGATGAACATGTGTAGCAAATGGTGCCTTCAAATTATCTTACTTGAGGACTAGTTATTACTTGTCTTGAGCACATGTATGTAATTAACTCTATCTGCTTGGCTACATAAAAGAGTAAGGTTTATTTCTGCCTTTGCCTTCTCTTAACACATTGTCTGTGGTGTATGTTATATTCTGGTGTAATGTTTATTCAATATTAAAATTATTTTCTTTCTCTTCTACCTTTGTGGAGACGTTTTCTGGGTTGGGAGAAGATTTTGGTTTTAATTATATTTCCCCAACACCCATACAACTCCCTATGCCCATTGTGCTCCAAGACAAACTATGAACTCCATGAGAACAGGGTATCAGTCTTTTAATTCTGAACCTTCCAGTGTCTGTTTTGACTGACACATTATACACACATAATAGGTTATCATAAACAGATGACAAAGGATTGGATGGATAGATGAATGGTCGAATCCATGGATCAAGCTATAAACTCGAAGTATCTATCTTGTTGTCTATTACATAGCAGTCAAATGTTGTTGGATGGATGGGAGGGAAGAAGGGAGGGAGAGAGGGAGGAAAGGAAATTCAACTGAATGTGTATAATGTGTATGTATTTCTAGACATTAACATGTATTGGAAAGTCATGTCTAACATCTTAAAGTGACGAAGACCTATAAATGCCCTACCAGTTTCTATCATTTCCATAGTTGTGCCCTTACAACCCAATATACATCGCCTATCCTTAACCCCTCAAAACCTGAATATCTTCAGGAGGGACAATGTTAGGCTCTCCAGGATGATTTTTTGTATTGCAATGATAAAGACCAAATTTACTCCTTTCTTACTTACCTTTTTCCCTTCTGTGCCTTCTCTCCCTGACTTTCCAGGGAGACCTTTGTCCCCTTTAAAACCTGGTAGACCAGGGAGGCCTGGGGGGCCAGGAGGGCAGTCATTGCACACGTCCTGAGAGTGGAGAGAGAGAGAGAAAAAGGGAGAGAATAACTAATACAATTGCAAAGCAAAGTTGGTTATAGCCTCAATGTCTCCACATGGGGATTTTTTTTAATGCTAGCAAAAATAGACAAGTAAATAGGCAGACAGGTAGACTGAGTCATTACCAAGATATTTTTGTGTCAAAACTTTGCATTTTCACTCTGTTAACTGAAAATTGAATTTGAGCACTGATATAGTTGCATTATTATCTTATATCTCCTTACTACCACCCAGCTAGACTGTTGGAAGTATAGCCCAAGAAAATGATGTCAAAATGCATGTAAAATTATCTGTAAGTATCTAAAAACATTAACAGTGCAGATTTAATACAAACACTTAGTATTACTAAAAATAGCATTTTTTCCCCTAAGGTTAAAGACAAAGCTGAGAGTTGAATTCTGTCTTGGGTTTGCCTAAATCAAATGGTTTCTGAAAAAAGAAGCAGAATGAAAGAGGCATACACTGTCAGGACTTTGCTTCTGTGATCATGCTTAGTTTTCTTCCTTACTAGAAGTAAATAGTTAATAAATGTTTCCAGAAGTTGAGCTTTATTCTACATTTTTAAGGCAGGTAAATGTCCCTAGAGTAAATTTAAAATCCTCAGAGTCCAGGGAATATGGTTTCTGGTTTGTCTGAGTCATCTCTAGATCTTACAGTTTGGAGTACGGTATGTACAAAATAGCACTCACCTGACCATAATCTAGCCTACTTCCTACACTTTGCATCTTGGATTACTCCTCCATACCCTTCTCTATAATCCTCCCTCTCTTCCACCCCTCCTCTCTCCTTATGATGGGGCTTTAATGAGATAATACAAAGAAAGTACTTATAATAGTGTCAGGATAAATAAATACCTAGATGATAGATAGATAAATGATAGCTAGATAGATAGATAATGCCCATACATTTAGCTATTATTATTTATTCATTCAGTTACTCACTCATTGAAAAAATACTTGCAAAGCATCTACTCTTCATTAGACACTGTTCTAGGCCTGAGACCATGGTGAGTGTGCATCTTGAAGAGGTTAAATGTTGTCAACTGATGCAAAAAATGCACTAACTTTGATGGACCTGCAATAACAAGTGGAAGCTGTACTGTTCATATTCAATGAGGTAAGGTTTCAGGTGATTTAGTGTTCATCTTGGTCTCTAATTTAAGGATGGTAAAGTTTCCCCATTACAAAAGCATCTCTGAATGGCCCACCTTGCTTTTACTTGTTTCACACCTAGTCAATCTTTGGAGATTCTTTGGACTTTAGACATTCTCTACTCCAGGGAGACTACTTGATTGTCTCAGAATGTGAACAGGCTCCTCCTGCTTCCATGGATTTCAGAAATTCCCACTATTTGAAGTATTTGTCTCATTGCTGAAATGGTCTGTTTATAACTTCATCCTCTCCCTACTAGGCAAATTGAAAGTGCAAGAACTCAGATGACAAAGAGTTGTTTTGTCTTTGCACATCCAATTCATAGCAAATAGTCTTCCAAAGAGCATGAGTTCAATAAATGAATGAATCAGGCAACTCAATCAATCTATTGATCAACCAACTGCCCATCTGACTTCTTTGGAGCCTTATGCCACCTTTCCTTTAGTGGATGGTTTGAGAAGCAGAATAATGTTTTTGGAGGGTGAATGGTACTAAATATTGGGATATATAAAGCAAGCATGAACAATACAGGTTGTTTTTGATTACTGTTTTTTAGTTTGGAAGAGTAGAGAAATTGAGAGGAACTCATCTGTCCCCTAGGCCTTCTCTTACAGAACTTTAAAATGAGATGCATTCATGCAACACTGCAACAATGAATGACTGTATAAATGAATGGACGGAAGGAAGGAAGGAAGGGGAGAAGGAGGGAAGGGGAAATGAAGGAAGAAATATGGATGGAAGGAAGGATGAATGGAAGGACAAAAAATGAATGGAAGGAAGGAAGGAGGGGAGGGAGGAAGGGAGGATGGGTAGAAGGAAGGATGGAAATAAGGAAGGCAGGTAGGTAGGGAGGGAAGCAGGAAGGAAAAAGGGAAGGTAAAAGGAAGAAAGGAAGGAGGGAGGAAAAGGAGGGAGAGAGGAACGGAGGGAGGGAGGAAAAAAGAAAATGAAGAAGGGAAAGAAGGAAAGGAGGGAGGGAGACAGAGAATGGAGCTAGCCTGGTGGCAGCAAACATTTTGACCATGAAGATTTTTTGAACTTGAGGGTGCTCTGGTGATTGGGAGCGATTCTTTGCAGTGGGATTCAAAGGTTGTATCTGAGTAATGCAAAAGTCTTACTACTCTACTATTTCTTTCTAACTTCGGGCCGGGCTCTTATTCTGAGTTCTATCTTAGTCCCAGACTATGTAGGGTTGTTTCCTAAAGACCAGAGCTGTCAGCAGCCCCAGACTTGCCAGTGTCGGAGCTGGACTCAACACACACTGACCTAGTCCTGGAATTCAGTGAGCACAAGGTAAGATTAGCCGCCAACCTGCAGTGTTACTGATGCTCAACTTGGCTCCAGAGCTCTTGGGACTTCCAGTTCATCCTAACCCCTTACTATCTTCCTTTTCTTAGGGCAATTCACACTTACTCTGAAACTCTTAAAACTGGGTAGGGTCATGTTTCCAACCAGATGAGATTGCCCAAACCCCGCTGAAGTCTGTGCCCACCTGGGATCATGGCTTTTCCTCTCTGAGTCTCAAGTCTCCTCATCTGTGAAATGGGGACCTCAAAGTCATATAATAAATGAGAAATGAATGGAAAATATCTGACACCATGCCCAGCACACAGTGAAAGCACAATGAATTTTAGCTGTTACATGTACCATTGTTTCAGTTATTAATTTCCTCCCCAAATCTTTTGCCTCACATGCAAACTAGATGTTCTTGATCTCCAATACTAGCTCCCAACACCTGGGCTTACTGAGGTATTTAAGACAAATGATTTAATCTCTTTGTATATATTGTCTTATCTGTAAAAAAAAAAAGGCATTCTCTTACTTTAAGAGATTGCTACAAAATTTAAATAAAATAATTCATGTAAAGTGCCTAGCATATTACAAGGTTCATTGTGTGTAATCTATAAATGTTGATTTACTGTGGTATTTACCCTTTACTTTTGTCTGAAATATTTTCAGCAAGTCCAGCTCACAATATTAATGCATGCAATATTGTATTTGGTGTTGTAGGATGTACTCAGTAAGTGCTCAATGAAATCCCTACAATATGGAGGGAGGCTACAGTATTTGCTACATGGGGAAACCAGAAATCATTGCTTCCAAGAAGCAGAAATAACCTCTGGGTCATCTCATTTAACTTCTCATTGGGTATATGTATCCTCACTACAATATTCCTACCAAAGGGTTATGTATCCTGCATATCAAAATCTCTAGGAACCAGGCAGGGAACTCACTAAATGCCTGTACTTTATTAGATACCTTCCAGGAAGTTCTGACTCATGCAAAGATAAAATCAGATAGTAGAAAGGCTACACAGAGGACTTTGGAGTTGGTCACAGTAGGTTTCAGTTTTGGTTCTGCTACTACTCATCTTGTGGCTTTAAACAAGTGATTTATCTAGCTATACCTCAATCTCCTCATGTATAAAATGCAGATAGTAATATAAACCACTCACAGAATTTTTTTGGTGAGAATTAGGTGAAATAATATTTATGCAAGAAAGTCAGGTAATGGGACAATCTTAAGATGACTTCTCTGGGCACAGACCCAACCATGGAAGTTCTGTAGCAGAAACTCTTAAAATAACTTTCTCCTTGGTCAATTCTCCATCTATCAGAAAGATAACTAAGCTCCCTGGGGCAGAGGCAAATATTCTGTAATATAAGGGTCTTCTCAGTATGGAAGGCACCTGCCACCAGTCTCCTAGACTATACTGGCAAGTTTTAACCTACAACGTTAAGATGACAACCAAAGATAGCACAAAACAGGGAGTGAAAGATAATCTGCTCCCCAGACCTGGCCAAACCCACTCAGCCTGGGCTGTTGTCTATAGCATTTCCAGGCAAAGCACAGCTCTGTGGAACTAGCAAGCCTCCGTGGGCCACCCTGAATGTAGGTGTTTCATTCCCTCTGGGGTTTCCATCTGCTCTTATTAATGCAGTTGCAGTTAGGAAATATTGAGTTCACTAGACATCTGTTTCAATGCTGTGGCTATGAGGCATGACGATGTCATATTATAGCCTGCTAAATGCATATAGCACTATAGAGCCAATTGTGTTAGTTGGGTACCTAGGCTGACTTTGTTGGACATAAAATAAATTGGACTTAACAAATGCCAGAATGGAACTCGTTTGTATGCTGGGGAATTACTGTACTTGCAAAGTTGTTAGTGTGACCGAGGATCTAAATTTTTAATTGGATTTAATTTTATTTAATTTAAATTGAAATTGAAGCATATGGCCAGTGGCTGCCATATTAGACAGCATGGATTTAGCACATCACTGGGCATATTGTGAATTATCAATAAATGCTGCTGCTATTACTGTTAATTCAAACACATAATTGTTCAGATTTTTTAAAAATTTATTATTGAGCTCTCCAATTCTCCAGTCACCATTTTCAAAACACATGCACAATTATTGTAATTTTTTTTTACCTTAACCAAGAGATTGATGTCCCCTGGAGACAGTAGTGAAGAAAGGCCCTGTCAGAGTAAAAAGAAATGAATGCATACATACATCTGGAATATTCCATGCATCTTTAGAAAGTAAAAAGTCTACAAAGTATGAGCTGTGACTCATAACATATCTGTGCCATGTATGGCACACAGACAGTCCCCTGGATATCCCAAGTTTGGGAGCCACAGAGAGAAGACTTTTCCACGAAAACAACTGCAGAGATCGCCAGTCTTAGCCAAATCTGACTGACTTCATGCTTCTCTCGTTCCCAGTCTCCTTCTACTGGCCCCTTCTCTTCTCCTGGCAGTCCCCCTTCCCCACTATCACCAAAATCTGATAAGGTACTGTGGAAGGTAAAGAAGAGAACTGTCTACAATCTGGATTGTTATGAATTTTCCAGGTGAGCAACAGCTGTTGCTATCAGTCAGTCATAAGCTAGTATGAATTTAAACCAATGTCTTCAGTTGTCTTAGGCGAAATAGCATTTTAAACTTCATCTGTCATTATGGGTTGAAAGTCTTTAATTCTAGAAAAAATATTTCAGAAATCAGGAGTAATTTCAAAGTCTCTGAAAGTATGTACAAGTATGAAGGTCACTGAATTCACCTTCAAACCTACTGTGAGTTGGAGTTATGATTGTGTCTGTTCTGACTGTGGTCAGTCTGGACCCCAAAATGTGCTGGAGGCTCAGTTCATATTTGGGAACAAGGAACACAAGACTAGGAGGGAAAATGAAACATTTTAAAAAAAACCAGACCCTGAAGGGAAGAAATTCTTAGATAGGAATTAGAAATGGGAGTGCTGCTTTGCAAACTTCCAAATTTTGTACTGGAAAAGGAATACCAGAGGACCCATTCACCAGAGGCAAAGTGGTAGATTCAACAATGCAATACATGTGGCTGATATCTTCTGAGTTTGAATTTAGGTGTACAAGTTATGAATTCAACCTGTCACCTTTAGGAGGCTGAAATCAAGACTTCTTTTCTGACTACTCTCCCTTTTCTGACTTCATGAGGTTGCTGTGTTTCTGTGCCATTCTGGGGCCAACAAAAGCCATCTGACCATGGGAACACAGGTTTACATAGGATAACTGCTGCAGTGGCTTGGGACGTGTTGTTGTTGTTTTCTGTGTAGATATGTTCAGAAATTCAGTCAACCCTCTGTGATATTGCACAAGGGGGATTGGTTGAGACTGAGATTAGATTAACTCAGATTTGGAAGTGCTCAGGGAAAATTCATTTAAGTGCACTGAAAATTCATTAAGGATGCAGCTGCTAAAGCCAAGGCCAAGACCTCCCTGGTTATCTGAGTGAGACCCTCGGGAGGAAGGACAACCTTTGAAATAGTAATTAATTAAAACTTTAATAAGGAAAAAGCTTTATTTTGAGGCCTTATATACATTTTGAAGCCTTATATGTTTTCCCTGAGAAGTTAATAATAGGAGAGGATTCATATGGTTCATTTGTGACATTTTTATACTGCTGGCATTGTATCACTAGGGATATTCATATGCTGTCCTTTGAGCCTCTTATAATTAGGGTGAGCTATATTAGACACTGTGGCAGGGTATTAGTTACAAAGGGAGAGAGAATGAGGGTGGATTTTCAGTCTAAGTACAGTGAGGCCTTGAAGACAATTTCATTAATATCTCACTCTGACCCATTTCTGTAAAGCCTCATGAGATAGGTCTCAAGAAGATACACAAGACCAGGGTCTGGATGGAGGTGGTGGACATGGAACATGACAGACGTCCATTCTGCCTTCAAAGAGTCAGTCACTCATGGTAAGTTGTTGCTAGACCCAGAGGGTTGAGAGAACAAATGGTGGGAATTGTTGGCATACAGATGGCACAGTCTCTGCCTTGCCTAGATCCCTCTTACCCTGGGTGCACCCTTCCCCCAGGCACTGGATATACCGCCAGCAGCCGACTGACATGGGATAAAAAGGGCTGGGCCTGGCCTCAGAGTGGGAGAGCTCCATGGTACCCTTCACATTCTGGTGTTCCATGTGGGATCAGGCCGAGCCTAAACTCGAGTTGAACTCACAATTTTTAGGCTTTTTCCTCTGTCATTTCCTGCTTCTCTAGATTCTTGCAGGTTTCCCATGAGGGCACATATTCCCTCAATCAATGGCTGTCACAAGGATCTCTTCTGCAGGTTCTGCTTCCTGAGACCCTAACCTATGGGTGCAGCTCACTTCAACATGCTCCCTCCACCCACTGAGGGGTGTGACAGCACAGTAAAGGATTAACTCAGCAAGCCTTGGCTGTCTAAACCCTGCACAATCCAAAGAAAGATCTGGGCCCTGCCTGACCCTGGGGGGATCACCTCTAAGACCTTGAAATACCTTGCCTGATAAGAGTGTCTTTGTTTACCTGAGTCCTTGGGCCAAGCCAGGTAATTGATGCTAAAAATGTGATTTGTGATGGAGGCCTTGGGGCACACAGTGTCAGTCTGACCTCCATGGAGGATGGAGATTAAGTGATTAAGATCAGTCATGTGGGCACTCCATGCCTACATGACCAATTCCCAACAAAAACGCTGGACACCAATGCTCATGAGCGCTTTCCTGGTTACAAAACTTTGTGAGTGCTGTCCTACACTGTGCCTGGGAAAATTGAGTGTTGTCTACATGACTTCACGAGGAGAGGACAAATGGAGTTTGCATGTGATCTCTCCTGTACTCTTTCCTGGGTACCTTTTTTATCTACTGGTTTTAATCTGTATCCTTTCACTGTAATAAGCCATGAGTATAACAGTTTTTCTGAGTTCTATGAGTCCTAGCAAATCATTGAACATGAGGGACTCCCTTACACAATGACTTATCTGAGTAGTGAGATGAGAGAAACCATGATAACCAGGGGGGCATCCTTGGGACTATTTGGAGAGTGTTCAGTGAATCTAAAAGTAGTATAAAATAGGCTTCCGATTTCTCTCTCTCTCTCTCTCAAGTGCTCACTCTTTTTCAGTGTCTTATGCTTTCTGTTCTGCTGGTGACCAGCTGAGCGACAGTGACAATTACCCACATTGTAAGCTGCCTTGTGCTGAGTTAATTCTCTTCTCAGATGTCAAAGTCCAGAAGTGGCAGAGGTCATCTGAACCTGTTCATTTTGACTTATGGCCTGAACCGCACTCTTCTACCCACTTCACCAGGGACTTGTTTTTGCTTTGTTTTGTTTTGTTTTGGGAAGCAGGATCTATTGAGAGGACAGAAAAGCTTTCACAGTGGGAGGGGACCTGAGGGGTTGCCCCACCAGGGCCTTGTACATAGATAATAAAGTGTTTTCTAAGAGGCATATTTGGCATCAGTGACACCGACTCCTTAGAGCAGGAGGCATGAGTGAATAAGTTGTCCCTAATCTCCAAAAGACTTTACATTTCTTCCATTGGAAGGTCTTCAATGAAAAGTTTCAGGATCCTCATAGGCAGATCAGGATCCCTGACCAGATCTCTGCTGCGCCTTGCAACTCTGATAAGGTGGTGAGAGTTGCCAGAGCCCACAGGGGTCTCTGTGCCTTGGGTCCTTGTCTGAAACTTGTAGCAGGCCAGACTTGCAAAGGAGACAAGTAGCCTCTCAGATCCGTCATGAGGTGAAGCTTCTGCCCAGGTGAGCATTCTGGTTTCTGAAATGAGACTTATGGCTTCACTCTTGAAGTCTGTGACTCCTCAGTCTTGATTGACACTATCTTTTCAACTTTAAGTAGCTTTTTCCCATGGAAGAATTCCTTCCACATGTGCACAACTC